CTAACCACGGGTCCATGATGATGCAAATGGTTATCCTTCCCACAGCCTGTGGGCCACATAGTGTCTACCTACATTCCCACTTTGGGGGAAGCAGCTTTCCCCCAGCCGGTCACCATTTGGGTTAGCTGTATAGTTGCAGGAGTCAGAAAAATGCGCCTCATGCCACCAACCCTGGCAGCAGATGCCCCTTGAGACAGGTGTGCCGTGTGCCACTAATTGAGGACAAAAGCCATAGTACCTCAAAAGTGATTTCCTCTCATGCCGTTCAAAGTGACTTCCAGTACTGAATGCACGTGGTTTCAACCACAAAGTTTAAGGCAGATACAACTGGCGGTTCTGCTTCACTTAGCGACACCGGACCATCCAACGGGAGAATTCAGTCGTGGTTGCTCCCATGGGGCACAGTTCTGCTCTGGCACCCGTGGGGGAGCCTGGGGTCAAAGGCGACACCATGACAACCGTTTTCTGGGTAGCCTAGCCGTGGCTTTTCAAACCAGCTGTTACAGCTGCTGGATCTATTTCAGAACTTCCTTTTTTTGGTTTAACTTGTTGACTGTATCTGACTCTTTACTTTTGCATCTTAATGCCATCTTTTTTCCCTGGATTTTCTTGATATTTCCAATTTTCGTGATATTTCTATCACTTCTCCTCCAACACCTTCTGCTCTGAAGTTTGACAGATTGAAGACTTATATGGAGAAAAAGTAGGGTGAGAAAATGATTTTCTGAGAGAGTTTTCAATTTTAAAGGTTTGGGGGCAGGAGGCAGTGGGGCAAAGATGTTTTTAATAGTGTTTTAAATGCATGCAACAATAATACAGTGAACCCTGTATGTTCACTACGCACCTTCGCTCACCATCAGATGCACTTCTGTTTGCTTTCTCTCTCCCGTGGGAGGTAGAGCTCGGACTCGTCACAAGTGCCCCACGTGCCAGTGCAGTTCTGAGACATCACAGACATTGTATCCTGCAATGCCAGTACCAGAGCTAACAAAAGTGGAGACTGACTCCTTGCTGTTCAGTTACCCAGTTCATAATCCAATTTTGCTGGTTCTTAAAAATGCCTTTTTGTAGTTGATTTATTCAAATCAGGATCAGACGAATTCTGCACATTATATTTGGTCAAAGAGCCAGTTTTGAAAGCAGATTAGAACACACATGGAGAACTCCTTCAAACCTCCCATAAAGGGGGGAGGGAGGGGGAACCGATCACAATTATCTACATATAACCCCTTCCCAGGGGGAAGGACTACAGAAAATTGAGTGAAGGGAGACAGCAGTGGGTGTAAGACATGAAAAAAAAAAAAAGAATTTATAAATTATCAGGGTTCATGAAGGAGGGAGGGGGGGAAATGAGGAGCTGATATCTAGGGCTCAAGTAGAAAGAAAATGTTTTGGAAATGATGGCAACATCTGTACAAATGCGCTTGACACAATGGATGGATGAATTGTGATAAGGGCTGTAAGAGCCCTCAAAATGATCTTTTAAAAAAACAAAAACATCCAACAATTCTCAGCTTCCTGCAACATTTCATTACCCTATATTTGGAACTAATTGATGGAGGGAGGTGGGCGGGAATAGAAAGTGGGCAGAGAAATACAAATTGAGAAATTAGGAGTTGAACATTGGAAAATAAAAGTAGAACATTGGAAATACTAACTAGGGGGTTGTGAGGTCATATCATAAGAGTGGCTTAGAGAGATTATTGGGAGCCCAGATAGCGTAGTGGTTATGACTATGGCTGCTAATGGCAAGGCCGGCAGTTTGAAACCATCAGCGGCTCTGTGGGAGCCAGTTGGGCTTTCTGCTCCTTTGAAGAATTGCAGTCTCAGAAGCTCGCGGGGTGACAGTTCTGCGCTGTCCCGGAGGGTCCTATGAGTGAGAATTGACTGGCCGATGGCAGTGAGTTTGCTGTTTTTTGTTTGGTTTAGCTTTTGCTGAAACTTTGATTAAACCAGATTTACTAGTTTCCACAGTAAGCTTAGAAATTTATATTATTTTTGTGGGACAAATTAGCCTTTTTAATAGAAATGTTCAGATTCATCTGAAATGTATACAAGCTAGTTTTATATGAAAGAGATCATGGAGTCTTTTGAATATTGTAGAGAAGTTAATATCAGTGCTTTTGCTTTTTGAAACAGAAAAGTAAGAAAACCTCCATTTGGAACTGGCATTGCAGTTTGATTGAAAAGATAAATTTATAGAGGTCCCATTGGGTAGTCAGCCAGACATTATTGGCAACAAAAAAGGAGAAAGGCTCGAGCCCCATGTCAGGATCCATGTATTTACTCAGTCTTACGTGCTATGAACTGTACAACACAGGGCATGCACATGAGAGGCGCTCTGTGTATTGAAGTAGTTTCTGTCTGAGGAGCGTTAAGTGCCGTGGATCGGAAGCATCCATTTGTTTTCAGGAAGGCTTCAGATAGAGACCAATAGTCCCCCATGTTTCAATTTCCAGTTAGAATGAATATTTGTTCAAATAGTCAAATTAAGAAGAAAAACACAGTAATATTAAGTTGGCAGCCAGTCACTTATTGGCCACCCCAGCTATCGGGAACAGAACCCACATCCAAGAGAGAGTGAAAATGCATCTGTGAAGTGAAACTGCCTCTGCCGAGTCTGAGAACTTCCTAGTTGGAGTGTAACCAACAGCTGTTGAATCCCTTCCGATTTGTGGCAACATGTGTGTCAGAGTAGAACTGTGTTCCAGAGGGTTCTCAGTGGCAGGTTTTCGAGAAGTAAATACATGGTGGGCTTGAACTTCCAACCTTTTAAGCACATTCACCTCTTGCACCATCCAGGGACTCCTTTTTTAAAAAAAATCGTAAGTATGTAGATAAAACATTTACCATTTCCATAATCTTCACAGATAAAGCTCAGTGACATTAAATATGTTCAGCGTGCTATTTATTTTTAAAAGTTTTATTGATATAAAATTCACATGTCCTACAACTGCCGTAGTGAAGTCGCTTTTAAAAGAGTTGTATATACATTATCACAGACCATTCTGGAGCACCCTTCCCTCTCCTGCATTTGTGGTTTGCTCTCCACTCCTGCCCCCACCCTCCCTCCACCCCACCTCCTTCAACCACTGCATCAGTTATTGTCTGTCTGCATCCACTCTTTCTGTGCTTCATAAACTGGGAAACCTAACAGACAATCATAAACAAAATGAAACAAAGAAAAAGTCTTAAAGAGAAAGAAAAGACCACCAGCAATATTAAAATAAGCCAGAGAGAAATGTTCTGTTGAGGAACAAGCGAGAAATAATTAAACCTTAAGCGAATTCAGATTGGGTCAAGAGGGAGGCCAGCTGACCAGGTATCATTTTATACCCTAGTTCCATCCACCATAATCAGTCTCTATCTGATAGTAAAGCTGAGTCTCTTGCCTGTGGCTAGAGGGGGTCTGCCAGAGGCTTATTCTGACTGGGTACTCTGCAGATGGAGGCTGGCTCCCACTGCCTCCATTGAACATTTTAAGCTTTGATGCTTTTGTCATCTGTGGATCACGTGGGCAGGTGTGCTGCTTCGATGTGGACTTGTGTAGTTGACACTTCACTTAGATGGCTGCGTGTTTGGATGTATAAGCCGTTAAGGCCCCAGACACTATTCCAGTTGATAGTTGAGCACCATCTGCTCTCTTCACGCTTCAGCATGATGTTTTAACCATCACCATTGACTTCCTGATGGTGGTTTATGTTTCCATCCTAGGGACTCCATCTTATCTATACAAGAACCTATTTAACTTTACACGTGCAAATCTAATCCATTGATCTGGTTGGGAAATAGAAGGGGTAGTAAATCTGCTAAGTTAGGTAGCTAGCTGATACTAATTGCCAGATGGCCAAGGGTGGAGACAAAATTAAAAAGAAAGAAGATACAACAGCCAAAAAAAATGAAAAAATAACTCTTGTAGGTGAGTTTCACTAAATGAAGATGCGTTCCTAACTCGGGCGTCTGAGGCAAGTGCTCTCGCTGAAAAGTAATTGCCACTTGCCATCCAGGCAGCACTAATGCTGGAGGACCCGTAGCGAGTTCAAGGCTGGGACCCTGCAGAGGCAGGTTGCCACGCCTTTCTTCCAGTGCACCTCCAGCCCGTCAGCCTTCAGCTTAGTAGCCAAGTGCTTACTCATTTACACCACCTGTTGGTGGTATTCCTAATAAGGACCCCAAGTTACCAGAAAGTGTTAAATAGAATATTTGTAGACTTTCCCATTGCTATTTAGGTGAAGGTTTACAGAGCAGATTCCGAGTTTTGCATTCAACAATTTATGCATATTTTGTTTAAACTCACCCATTTCAATCCCCTTAATGTAGCCATCTATCACTTATCCCATCCCACTTCCCCCCAGTTTTCATTTCGCCTCCTTTCCTAACCCTCTGTCCTTGGGTAAGTGCTGTCTGTTCATCTCAGACGTTGGTGTTCTAACACTGCGTGAGTTCACTTCCAGACCTGAAGGGTGACTAAGGACCATAGTGCTGGAGGTCTCTCCAGGACCTTCTAGTGTGATCCTTTCCAGAGCGCTGGTGGTGGTAGCCAGAAGCCATGTAGTTCTCCCATACCAAGTCCTCTTTGATGAAAAGAATTTGCAGTGTACTTTGCAACTTTTTATGAACAGCTAAACTTTAAAATCTTGCTTTTTAAAGAGATTTGAATGCCGGTTGTACATTCACTCAAGAAAGTGCTATGTAGTTCTGGGTTACTTGTTATGTCAACCTCTATGCAGCGCCGTTAATTAATTCTAATGGTGCTGGATGAATGAGGCTTCTTAGTCTGATCAAATTCGGAATCTGTTCCTCAAAAGAGGATTTAGAACAAAGAAAATTATCAAGATGTTTGCTACAAATTTTCCATTTGCAGTGTCTTTACATAGCATTTAATTCTTTCTTTAAAAAGTTATTTATCCATTTTAAAATGTTAACCTCTCTGATGTGTTTGGTTGGAAATTCTTGTGACCTGTTAAAAAATGTTCTGTTTTATGTTTCTTGAACCATAGGTTAAAGACTTTAAGTGATAAATCAAGAGAAACAAAAGTAAAAAGCAAGCCCAGGTAAGCTTGTGCGAACATACAATTTACTGCACCTTAAATTTATTACAACTTTAGTTGTATTCATAATAAGACTCATATAACTACTGTAATGTGTTTTAGCTCTCTGGAGTGCACCTGCCTACAAAACAATTTACTGATACTTTCTAAATTTTGCAATGATCTTTTCTGATAAAATTGTAAAATAAATTTTAAAATAAAAAATAATTTTTTACTCAGACTCAGTGACTACTGCTTGATAATGATTCATCATTTGTAAGACTATTTTATTGTAGTGAAATATATCTGATTAATCATTTAAAAAGCAGATTAATGAAACTGCACTTGGCAAGTGAGCGTCTTTTGCTGTTACCTGTTTTACATGAACACTGGGGTTCGTTGTATAGGGTTTTCATTTTTAAGGGAAAGCATATGACCAGCTTCATTGTAGGCCTACAAATGATGAGCTCTGGTTTATTCTTGGTCTCTAGCGTAACACTCAAGTGCTATGCGAACATTAGAGCAGTGTCGGGGCAGAGTCACTGTTGAGAGGAGGTTCGCCGTCATCACGGCGATTCGGACTCAGAGTGACTTAGCAGGACAGAGCAGAACTGCCCCTGGGTTCCTGAGGCTCTAAGACTGCCCTGGAGCAGAAAGCCTCATCTCGCTCTCTCTGGGAGGGGGGGGGGGTTCAACAAGCCGACTTTTTGATACCAACCCACAGTGTAACCCACGAAGCTGTCAGGGCTCCTAACTTTGAAATAAAACACTGCAATTTTTTTAACACTTGAGATAAATTGTTATTGCTTTTAAGATATACCTGACAGTGTCAAAATGCTTGTATGTTACTTAATTTTTTTCAGTTTGCCTAAATCAAATAACTTTAATAAAAATAAATACTTCTCTTGCCAGGGCTGTTCCATGTGTGTCAAAGTACTCTGCTGGATTAGAATTACTTCGCAGGTAAGTGTTCACATTCAAACATTATACGGTATCTAAAAATGATTTATAATTTTACAGATAAAACTCACTGCCACCAAGTCCATTCCAACTCCTAGCGTCCCTGTAGGACTGCCCCTGTGGGTGTCTGAACGGTCAATCGTTGTGGAAGCTGACAAACTCACCTGGCGGTGAGCAGCCCAGCACGTAACACCATTAGTGGTCCTGTGGCATCCCAGATAGCTAAGCAAAAAAGAAGGGGCCAGATTTTAAACCAAAGCTGATAATAATCTTAGCTTTATTACTTGACTCATGCTTGGCTTTTAGGGAACTTATTTTTAGGTAGAAACCTTAAGACAACTACATTTCACTTTGATGTGGTGATTGGAAAGTTTATTCTTTACTTTGAAGGGTATTTTTAAAAATCATTTTATTGGGGGCTCTTACACGTCTTATCACCATCCATCCATACATACATCTTGTCAAGCACATTTGTACATGTTACCATCATCATTTTCAAAACATTTTCTTTCTACTTGAGCCCTTGGTATCAGCTCATTTTCCCCCTCTCCCACCCTCCCTCCCCCATGAACCCTTGATAATTTATTAAAAAAATTTTCATGTCTCACACTGACCGCTGTCTCCCTTCACCCACTTTTCTGTTGTCCGTCTCCCTGGGATAGGATTATATGTAGATCATTGTGATCGGTTTCCCCATTCTCTCCCCATCTTCCCCTTACCCTCCTGGTATTGCTACTCTCATTGGTCCGGAGGGGTCTATCTGTCCTGGATTCCCTGTGTTTCCAGCTCTTATCTGTACCAGTGTACACGCTCTGGTCTAACTGGTTGTTTTCTTCTCCAGGTTATCTAGATAGGCATGCAGAGACAATAATAAGTACAGTAATAAGACAAAACACAACAACAACAAACCAAGGACAAAAAAAGAAGAGCCTATAAATAGTTCCAGGTTTGTTTGTTGACCTTTAGAAGTGTTTTCCAGTCCAGTCTGATGGGGAACCACACCTGACCCCAAAGTCTGTTTTTGGTATTCCCCGGGGACTTCATTGCTTTGCTCCCCTTGCTGGTCTCCCCTCATTGTTTCACCCCGGTGTGGTGGGGTCACATCAGCCACAATTCCCACACTGTCCAGTGTTGTCCTCCCGTAGCACTATGGGTCAGTGAGGGATGTCATGTCTCGTGGTGGGGCTGGCCGTGTGGTCCTTTCTGTGCATTGGCTGCTCTGAGCAGGAATATCGGCCTCGGAGCTTGGTGGGCCAGGATCTTTGAGTGTTTTTCGCTTTCCATTGGTTAGTATAAAGACCCTTCAGACTTTGAGCACATAACTATTACATTTGCTGGTCAATACTTTATTATCCAAATTATTCATGCCCATGCTTGTGGTTTTGTTGTTGCAATAAAATTGATTCTGGATTTGTAGCTTGAACAGTTTCATTTCTCTCTTACTTTCACATTACTTTTTCTGTAAACCATTCCAATTGAAATTCTGTTGTGTAGATAGGCAGATTAAATAGTAAAAGATACTGTTTTCTTAGACATGCCAACAAAAATATAAGCAGCAAAAAAAGGTTACATTTAGCTTCACTAAAGTGAAATCCAAATTTTGTGTTTCAAACACCGCCATCCAAGTGAAAAGGCAAATCAGAATGGAAAACACTATTTTGAAACCATATATCTGATGAGGAAGTTGAACCAAGAATAGGAAAAGAACCCTTTTAACTCTAAAGACAAATAGCTCATTGAGGACAGAAGCAAAGATTTGCCTAGACTTTTCTTAAAGAAGATAGTTAATCACCATGTGACCCAGCAACTTCACTCCTAGGTGCAGTATGGAGCCCAGGAAATTGAAAACGTGTCCATGCAAAAATGTGTAACCAATGTTTGTAGTAGTAGTATTCATGATACCCAACAAGTGTAAGCCATGCAAATGTACATCAACTGATGAATAATAAAATATGGTATATGCAAATGATGTAATAGTCATCCATTAAAAAGGAGTGAAGTACTCATCACGCTACAACACAGGAAACATTGTAGTAAGTGAAAGAAACCAGCACAAAAGGTCAGTATTCCATTTATGTGATATGTCCAGAACAGACAGATCCATAGAGTCGAAGTAGATTAGTGAGTGGTCAGGAGTTGAGGGGCAATGGGGAATGAAAATGACTGCTAATGGGTATGGGTTTCTTTCTGGATGATGAAAATGTTTGGAATTTGATAGTGATAGTGGTTACATAATGGTGATTATGCTAAAAGCTATTGAATTGTACACTCAAAAGCATAAGCTCTATGGTATGGGAATTGTACACCATAAGGCTATTGTAAAAAAAGGGGGGAATTTGATTTAATTGTACTGTTATATGTAGTTCTGGACTCAGTACCATGCCATCTGACAGATAAGTGATAAAGGCAGAAGTTACATTGCTTTTTCTTTTCTACATTTATCAAAACACAATCATCTATACCAGGGGTTCTCCACCTTTCTAATGCCACGACCCTTCAATACAGTTCCTCATGTTGTGCTGACCTCCCAACCATAAAACTATTTTCATTGCTACTTCATAACTGTAATTTTGCTACTGTTATGAATCCGGTGACCCCTGTGAAAGAGTCGTTCGACCCCCAAATGGGTCACGGACGCACAGGTTGAGAACTGCTGCTCTATGATGACATTTTGCTTTATTTTTTCTGGTTTTTTACTGGGCTTCTTTATGATTGTTAAATCTAGACATTGTTTTCTTGTCTGAAATGACAGGTGCTTAATTTCATATAAATTTTCTTCTTGGTTTTGTTAAATGGAGATTGAAAGGGAATATCTTTCATAATACACTAAAAATTAAATGGATGGGGCTTCAAAAATTCATGGAAAAATTCCATTACATTTTTTAATCGTTTTATTACAACTCTTATCACAATCCATACATACATCAGTTGTACATTCAAAGCACATTTGTACATTCATTTGTACATTCATTGCCTCTCCACTTAAGCCCCCGGGATTAGGTCCTCATTTTCCCCTCCCTGCCCGCTCCCTCCTCCCTCATGAGCCCTTGATAATTTATAAATTATTATTTTGTCATATCTTGCCCCGTCCGACATCTCCCTTCACCCACTTTTCTGTTGTCTGTCCCCCAGGGAGGAGGTCACATATAGTTCCTTATAATCGGTTCTCTGTTTCCAACCCACTCTCCCTCTAACCTCCCAGTATCGCCACTCACACCACTGATCCTGAAGGGATCATCCGCCCTGGATTCCCTGTGTTTCCAGTTCCTTTCTGTACTAGTGTACATCCTCTGGTCTAGCTAGACTTGCAAGGTAGAATTCGTATAATGATAGTGGGGGCGGGGAGGAAGCATTTAGGAACTAGAGGAAAGTTGTATTTTCCATCGTTGCTACATCGCTCCCTGACTGGCTCGTCTCCTCCCCAAGACCCTTCTGCAAGGGGATCTCCAGTGGCCTACTAATGGGCTTTGGGTCTCCACTCCGCACTCCCCACATCATTCACTATGGTAAGATTTTTTGTTCTGATGATGCCTTATACCTGATCCCTTCTGCACCTGGTGATCGCATAGGCTAGTGTGCTTCTTCCATGTGGGCTTTGTTGCTTCTGAGCTTGATGGCTGCTTGTTTACCTTCAAGCCTTGAAGACCCCAGACACTATACTTTTTGATAGCCGGGCACCATCAGCTTTCTTCGCCACATTTGCTTATGCACCCATTTGTCTTCAGTGATCCCTTCGACACCTCGTGATCACACAGGCTGATATGTTGTTCCATGTGGGCTTTGTTGCTTCTGAGCTAGATGGCCGCTTGTTTACCTTCAAGCCTTTAAGACCCCAGATGCTATATCTTTTGATAGCCGGGCACCATCAGCTTTCTTCACCACTTTTGCTTATTCACCCGCTTTGTCTTCAACGGTTGTGTCGGGAAGGTGAGCATCATAGAATGTCAATTTAATAGAACAAAGTATTCTTGCATTGAGGGAGTACTTGAGTGGAGGCCCAATGTCTTTCTGCTACCTTAACACTTAACCTATAAATATAGGCACATAGATCTGTTTCTCCATTCTTATATTCCATTGCATTTTTTAACAACCATTTTGCTATTACGGGTTTTTTTTGTTAACACAAAAGATTTTTTCATTTTAGTGAACCACCATCCAGTCGGTTCTTATTCATAGTAACCCTGTGCAACCCCAGAAGATTTTAATCACCACTGGTGGGAGTCATAGTGGATGTGGGTCACGTTGCTATTTAGCTTCATCATATTTTCCAAATTCACTCTACAAAGTGTAAACTTTTTAGTAAGCTTGAACAAGCTAGAGAGGCTTGACCAGGTTAGAATCTCATGTATTTATTTATCAATAGTTTATTGGCATATAATTCACATATCATACAATTTAATCATTCAATCATATTAAGAGTTGTGCAGTCATCACCACAATCAATTTCAGAACATTTTCTCCTGGTATTCATTGTTAGCTTCTCATTTCATCCCATCCTCCCCTCTTGTGCCCAGAGATAATTATTAATCTAGTTACTGTCTCTAGATTTACCGATGCTGGATTTCATATACAGAATATCATATACAACATTAACCGCAAAACAATGACAAATCAGAGAAAATCTTCCATAGAAAAGAAGTCAGAAAATATTCACAACTGGAACAACTTTATATTGAGTCAAAAGGGAGATAAATGGTAACATAACTGCATCTGCTACAATTGACTTTGCAGTGCTTTCTGTCTGATAGCAAGATGTTCCTATACCTGGACTGTGCTCAGAGGAGACTCACCAGAGGCTTGATCTATGCAGAGCCTGTGCAGATAGATTTTAGTTTCCACTGTCATCCATAGCCTTCTGCAAACAGGGTGTTCACAATTTAAGCTCTGGTAACCATTCCCCTCTTTGGATTTGGACTTTACTATTTACAATCCTTGGATCACACAGGTTTGCATGCTTCTTCCATGTGGACTTGTTGAGGCCTCACTTAGATGGCTGCTTGTTT